CGTGAATACGTGGTGTAAAAATAAGACTTGATTTAAAAGAGCAATTATATGAACATTCTTTGCACTTGTAGGGTTTCTCTTCCGTGTGGTCCTTCATTATATTTTCTTGAGATTACTTTTCTGAGCACTTAATATGAACAATTCCTTACAATTGTAGGGTTTCTCTCCCGTGTGAGTCTCATATGCACTGTGAGCGACCTTTCCGAGCCACTAGAATATGAACATTCCTTACACTTGTAGGTTTCTCTCCCTAGCTTGTGAGTCATCATATGTTTCTTGAGATCCTTTTATTGAGCACTACATTATGTACATTCCTTACACTTGTAGGGTTTCTCTCCCGTGTGAGGAGTTGGTGTATTAATAAGATTCAATTTAAAAGAGCACAGTCTATGAACATGCTTTGCACTTGTAGAGGGTTTCTCTCCCGTGTGATACGTAAATGTTCACAAGATCATGTTTCTCGGTACAGTATAAGAAACAATTCGTTCACATTTAAAATCTTTCCCCAACAGGAGAAGTATTTTCTTCCCCAAACTGACTGTGTCGTAAAGAAATGAACAGCAGGACATTTCTAGTAGACGTAATCATGATTGTTTCACCATGATGTTCTCTGTATGTTCCACAAAGAACTCGTCATAAAGAAGTGAGCTTCACATTTCGGACAAATGAAACCATGGATATTCCAGTCACCTCATCCTGTTCAGTTTTATTTCCTTTTGTCTCAGAATTAGATTTTTGTTACTCTTTCTTTATCAGCAACTGTTGAGGGTTTTTTACTCCGTGTTAACATGACAAAATTTCTGGATACTTAACTGATTAATAAAAATAACCAACTTACTATGTAACACAAACTTTCAAAAGTTCAAATAACAATAATCTTTAATTACCAGTGGGTATAAATAAATGGATTATTATTAAATTATTATAATTAGACCACCACTTAGACAATCATATTCTATCAGTAACCATGCAGCTATATGCAATGTTATAATTGTCATATCATAGTATATAATAAAAATACAACTAATATTAGATTGTGGAAAAAACGATACAATTACTAATTTCTACTATTGAGACAAGACAAAATCAGTGGGATTCAACTAACGGATAAATATATATCAAAAATTATGATTAATTCCTCATTTATTTGTGCATTAAACTGGCAAATCTTTTCTTTAAATTCAGAAAATATTTATTTATACATAGCTCTAAACATTTGTGAGGATTATTTCTAAACAATATGGCATCATTGATCATACCTCGTTGTTTAAACGAATAATACAAAAGTGGAAGTTAAACCTGAATTTCTTTACCCGTGATAAGGCTGGGTACTAATAATGTGACTGATTGATTGAAAAAAAATTTTCGTGCACCTGTATACAGAATGCAATGGTTTAATAATTTAAATATTAAATGTAGACCAGGTCGGTGCACGGATGCTTCCTGGAAGAATCCAGTTTCTTTTAGGGGGCACCCACCTAAAGCCAAATTGAGATTTATAATCTATTCCTAAGAATTTAATCAGTAAATCGAATACCAATCAAATAATATGATTATATGAGGTAGTAAACATATTTACTATGCAAAATGCCCCAACCACATAGTGTTAAATTTTATATTAGAATCAATTTCCATTCATTCATTAAACCTCATTACCTAGTCAATATTATAGCCCATGCAAAATTTAAATAAATTATTATATACCTTACTGTCATACTCATTAATTAAACATTTGAAATCTGTTTGACCAGTGAATATATTTCTAAGCCTTAATGCAGTGACAAATAATTTAGATGCAATATATAATAATGAATGCTAATGTGAGTATCATTTGTTCAAAGTCCTTGTTAAAAAGTCTGTACAAGAGATATTGAGAAATTAATATAGAGAACAAACAGAAGTCAGATCAGAACAAGTATTTAACAGTTGTATAAGAACATTCCTGGCAATTTTAGAGTTTCTCTTCCATGTGAGTACGTTGGTGTTGGACAAGACTGATTTAACAGAGCAACAAAATGAAGGCTTTCCTTACACTGTTAGGGTTTCTCAGCAGTGAGAGTTGTGATTGTTTATTTAATGACGTGATTTAGTAGAGCATGTCGTATAACATTCTTTGCACTTGTAAGGTTTCTCTCCGTGTGAGTCCTAATAGGTAATGTGAGATTACCTTTCTGAGCACAAAGTTATGAACATTCCTTGCACTTGTAGGGTTCTTCTCCGTGTGGTCTCATTTGTTCATGAGATCACGATTCAAAGCACTACAAAATGAAATTGGTTACACTTGTAGGGTTTCTCTCCCGTGGGTGAGGTCCTTCATATGTAATAGTGAGATTACCTTTCTTTGAGCACAAGTATATGAAAATTCTTTTGCTGCACTTGTAGGGTTTCATCCCGTTTGTGAGTCCTCGTATGTAATTGTGAGAGACTTTCTGAGCACAAGAATTGATGGGAGCAATCCTTACACTTGTAGGTTTTCCTCCGTGTGATCTCTATGTAATGGTGAGTTGACTTTTGGCACAAGGAATTTGAAACATTCCTTACACTTGTAGGTTTCTCTTCTCCGTGTGAGTCCTCATATGTATGTGAGTGACTTTTCCGAGCATACAAAATGAACGTCCTTACACTTGTAGGGTTTCTCTCCCGTTGAATACGTAAATGTTTTCAACAAGATCACTGTTCTCAGCTACAGGTATATAAGAAAACAATCGTTCACATTTAAAAGTTGTCCCAACAGGGAAAGTATTTTCTTATGCCCAAAACTGACTGATGATCGTAATGAGTTTACAAGCATTTCTAGTAGACATATCATTGATTGTTTCACACATGAGTGTTCTCTGATGTGGTTCCACAAAGAACTTCATCATCTCGTGGAAGTGAGTTCACATTTTGGACAAATTGCACCATGTGATATTCCTGTCAATTCTCCTGCATCGGTCTTTATTTCCTTTTGATCGCAATTTAGATTTTGTTACTCTTGTCTTATAATTCAGCAGCTGTTGGGGATTTATACTCTTTGTAAAATAAAAATAATAATAGAGAAAGACAAATTCTGAGAAAAGGAGCAATTTTATTATTTATCACCAATTCAATACATAATCCAATAAATATATATCCGAAATTAGATTGATTTAAATTAAATGGGAAACAAGTATTGCTAGCATGCTAAGCGCGCTTTAATTTAATAAATATTCACGCTGTTAAAAATGGGTCTTACCACACCGCCACTCCACATTAGCACAGTTGGTGAACGGACCCAGGCGCTGTTAAGCTTTTATGAGCCCTGGTTGGACTGCTGAGAGTGGGCGACGGGTCTGACATTAATTTTTATTTTAGTTTTCCATATTCAATAAATTTAGTTTTGACGTTAAATGATTTTTTTATGCAATATTTAGTTGAAGCTGCTTGCAATACATTATTGCTTGAAAGATTTGTTTAATATGCTCGCTATAGCTTAATTTTTTAGATACCGTATGTATATGTACACATCAGTCATAATACTAAATAACAATATAAATAAATTAGAAGCCAATGAGAGGTCCAAAAACCAGTTCAAGCATGCGACACCAGGATGAATACTTGACATCGGAGCTGCAAGCTTATCACGTTGAATTACACGAAGATCGTTATTTGCAGTCTCCTTCAGGCGGTGTCGACGGATTCATCGAAAGGGTTTTTGACAGGCTGTGCCCTTACCAATTATTAACTGAACCATTGCCTGGTACTTTTATAGTGGAAACAGCAATACTTAGGTAATGGGACTACTGCGGACCCTCTACGGCAAACCTTGTTAACAATAGCCGCAGCAAGGTTCGGTGACGGTAGTTGTAAAAGCGCTTAAAGGGACATAGTCAATTGGTAGAGCAATCTGTAGTGGATGTATTAAGTAATGAGGAGTAGGTAGAATGTTATTGTTGTCCCTTTATAAATCGTCTTTTTCTCCGGATAATAAGTTGACATCAAGTCTTGAATTTTTTTTTTGTCAACTTGATGTCAACTATTATCGGAGAAAAAGACGATTTATAAAGGGAGCACCTAACATTCTCCTATCCGTCATTTCTTAAGACATCCACTACATGATGTTGCTCTACCAATGTGACGTTATGTCCCTTAAGCGCTTTTAAACTACCGTTCAACCGTAACCTTGCTGCGGCTTTGTTATCAAGGTTTGGCCGTTAGAGGGTCCGCCAGTAGTCCAATTACCTTAGTATTGCTGTTCCTACTTACTAAAGAAATAATCCCGATAACACTCAACACTCTTGCCCTGATCAGGGATATCAACCATTTTACCCTTCACAAGACATCGAACGCTGTATAAGAAGAGACGATCAGACCTCATCATTGGACCTGGTACGATGTAAAACATGAAGTGGTGGAATAAGAGAGCCGCGCAGCGCTCGCGGCGCGGCATTTGTTGTCGCTCTGGACAATGCACTTGAAATAATTTTAGCTACCAAGACGTAAATCGTCGCGTAACGTAATGTATTCCATTTCCCCTTCGGATTAAGCGATCGGTACCCCGCGTGTAACCTTCTTCAATGGGTTGTGTGCGTGTTTGGTGGAGTGAGTGTGCGTATATGTAATGATTGAAGGAATCTTTTTTCTTTTTGGTGTATATAGATGTGAGTGACAGGTGTTTAAATGTTAAAAGATATAATATAACTAGGGGGTCTTTTCATAGGAAAGTGTTGAAGTTTAAGTCCTGCACAGTTAATATTGTAGTTGGGTGTTGGCCTTCATGATAGAATTCTTCAATTGAGGATTTATTGAGCGAGAGAACCTATTTTACCGTGCATTTGACTGTTCAAGAAACGTATTCCATAATTTGCCCCTTTATATTGCGAAATTGTAATATAAACAGGTGTTTAAACAGTGAGAAAATTTTTTTTAAAAAGAACACAATGGATCTTAAACACACAGTGCAGATGATATTGTTATAAGTTCATCATTGTTCCCAAAAAAGATTGATTTGATTAGGAATTAAAAACCTAAAAAACCATCACCTGAATGTCATCGGTGCGCTCCATTTTCACAATTCCTGGTTGAATTGGTTTGAAGGGGTTTGTAAGACACACTACTTCGGTCTCTTCAGACATTGTGTCATGAATCTATTCGGTAAAAAACTTGTGAATGATACAATAAATAACACGTACATTATTCATTGAAAACAATGGATAAATTGGAACAAGCTAACACAGTGGTTTTTTATTTATCTATATCAAATAAAGAGAATGTAGACAGATATAATGGCTTTGAGTGGGCCAAATAGTTTCTGGCAACCAACCAAAATATAGACACTGTGATCTGTGACCACGACAAAAACGTCGACAACTTCAAAGTAAGACATTCAAAGGGCACCTGCCATACTATAAATGAATTCTTGTATCTGTAAAAAATTAGGGAAAAAAAGTTTTCTCATTCAATTTGTTGCGCCACCAGGTTGCTCACTCTGCAAAAGCTGTAGAGCATCTGTAAGCTGGTAGCACATCCAAGGCTCTCAGAGATAATCAAGGCCTGGTAATTACGACATAAAATGTAATTGCTAGTTAATTGCCATGGCAGGATGGGGTCACACATCAAGTCATCATATCAGGGCAGATAGGTACTGGTATGCCGAAGGCTATACAGTCGAGACCTCTAATTGAGACCATAATATATATAATAATCATAATAAATTACATAGATTAAATCCAGCTTTAAAAAAAACATTTAACATAAGAGCTAACAGTCTAATTGCTAATAAGTTCAAAAATATCATGACATTAGGTTGCATCCTAAACAGTTTAAGCAAATAACATAAAGTTATACTGTCAATTAATCACTCATGCCATAAATTTTCTTGAACAGGTGAGTTTTTAATAATGTTTTGAACAGATCAACATCAGAACAAGTCTTAATTTCAATTGGTAGTTGGTTCCAGATTTTCGGAGCAACAGTCTGAAACGCTCTTGGGTACGATCTTGTAGATCCAACAGGTAGGTGTAAGGAGGAAGTTCTTCTGCTACTCGAACTAACAAATGTTACTAGATCACACAGATATGCAGGAGCAACACCATTGACTGCTTTGAAAATCAGTAAACATAACTTAAACTCAATCCTCTCCTTCACCTTGAGCCAATGAAGGGATTTGAGCTTCTCCTCGGCTGAATCTCTCTTCTTTAATTCAAAAACCAGACGGCATGCTCGGTTTTGAATGTTCTGCAGCTGCGCAATTGAGGCTTGACTACAACCATAGTAAAGCGCATTGCAGTAGTCAAGCGATGAGATTACAATTGCTTGAGTCAGTGTTCCCATCTGTTTGGTTGTGAGGAATGTTTTCATCTTAGCAAGGTCTCTTAGTTTCAGGAAACACAATGTTTTAAGTTGCTTGATTTGCTCACTAAAGTTTAGTTGAGAGTCGAGACGAAATCCGAGGTTCTTTGCAACAGGTGACAGCCTGTGCCAAGCACACCCTTTATCGCACTGAATCACCTCACCGACACTCCCGACATTATACTGTTCCTGCAAGGCGAAGCAGCAAAGGGCGCAGCCAGGCTACAAGCATACGGCAGCCTCACTCTTGAAACTATCACCTTCAGGAAGGGAAAGTTATCAAAAATCATACAACTATCAACAAACAATTCATGGCAGATCTCATTATCTTACCTAGAGCAACGAGAGATCTAACAGTACCTACCATGATGCTGGGACGGCACTTCACCGTCACAACTCCTGGTGCTGATAACACGGAATATAGAAACTCACTTCAAAACACCATCGACAATATTACCAGTGAAACGATCACCTGCTACACAGACGGGTCACTCACAGACTTTGGAAGCGGGGCTGGCTACATCATCACAACTGACAATAATAACACGATCTTTGAAGAAAGATCATTCAAGCTCACTGTTTACCAAACAGAGCTCACCGCCATCATTGAAGCTTGCAAATATTTATCTACATATACCAACACACATATCATCATATGGTCTGACAGTCTATCATCTATTCAAGCTCTCTCTGCACTTTCAACGCGGAGTAGAACTACAAGAGATTGTTACGACTCTCTTACTGTAATTCACTTGGATCCAACAACACGCTAGAGATACGATGGATTGCAGCACACATCGGATTGTGGGGGAACGAAAAAGCAGATGAGCTGGCCAAGCTTGGTACAGTCAGTGAATCCACTTTAAAGTGTCCAATTCCACAATCCTACATCAAGCGTCAAATCGACAACAAAGTCAACAGACTGAATCAGGAAACTTGGTTAACTGACGGTCCCAGACACACCAAACTGACACTCGGCCACAAGCACGCCAAAATCATCAAAAACCTCAACACTACACTCAGCAACAACAGACAAGATTACAGAACTGCAGTTCACCTCATCACGGGTCACTGCGGCCTAAATAAACACCTTCACACCATTTGCAAATCAAACACCAGTGCTTGTCCTATGTGCGGCGACGGAGAGGAAACTGTCTCACACTTCCTCGGACAGTGTCCGGCTATTGCCCAAATTAGAGGTCAATATTTCCAGGACTACTACCTCTCTGTCAATGACATATTCGACAACCAACACATCACCCTGCAAACTGCCACAAGATGCGAAATATTGCAAAAATGAAACCATTCCTCTCTGAAACTCAAATGCAAATCATCGTGCAATCTCTTATCATCAGTTCCCTTGACTCAAGAAAAGAAAACAACAACTGTAATGCACTTTACTTTGAAGCTAATCATTCTGTTTTGAAACAGCTACAATCTCTGCAAAACAGAGCATGCCGCTTAGTCAAAGGTCTAAAGAAGAGAGAAGAAATTGATCCCTACATAAAAGAACTTCATTGGCTCAAGGTACAAGAACGTATTGAATTTAAAATACTCCTGTTAACTAGGGTTAGGGTTGGGATCAGATAAGAGGGTTAGGGTTTCGAAAAGTCGTTCAGAACCAGCTAGAGAACGGGTTAAAAAAGTCACGTGACAGTCGAGTGTAGAGTGATTAATCATCATCCGCACTCGTGCGTGGCAAGCCTAGCCTACTACGTATACAACGTACGGCAAGCTTAAATATAATATTATTATTTTCAATCCCTCTTTCGACAAATATGAGTTCAACTGCATATTATTCCATTCAATCTCATGCCATCATGATGTGCATTATATAATTATTAATTAAGAACGACTGTTCGATCATGGAACATTGTATCACGTGGTGACCCCCACTGTCGCTTCACTATAGTGAGGCTCTTACTAAATCGCTCGCCCAAAAATTTCACGTGACTTTGGTTTTTTAGGTTTTGCAGCCGTACAAAACGGTTTTACATAAACCCTAATCCCAACCCTAACCATGACCCCGAAGCTATCCATAATCTTAACTACAACCCTAACCCTAACCCGAGCCCTATATAATCGAATTCACGTTTTACTAGCCTGTCACGTGACCAAAACGGTTTTTTGCCCATAACTCTCCAGAAAAGCATTTTAACCCTATACTACGTCATGGGGGGTGATTCGGAAACAGCGTCCAAAAATACACCGATTCAGATCACTTTCATGCCTAAAGGGCCTTTTCATAAGAATTTTCTTAAAATTTGGGCGAGCAATTTAGTAGGAGCGCTATAGTGACCCCTGTAGAGTTTCGACGATACAGGAGGAGCCGCGTACTCGTGCACGGCGGGTCATACAACGTATAACAAATGGAACATAGATGTTCAATTTTCAAGGGGATAAAATTGTTTTGCCAAAAATATTTGTAGCGCAATGTACTACTGGGCCGCGCCACGCATCCAATAACGAAGTAACGCGACGAACATGACCACAGATAGATCAGAAAAAGTTCACTATACTGGACCACTACTCACTACTACTGGAGCACACTAGATAAGAAGGATTGATATCGTCAATTAAATAAACTTCGAAATTTTAAATTGATTTTTAAAACTAAAATAATTAAAAGCCAAAATTTAAAACATATTTTTAAAATTTTTGAAAAACCTTAACAGTTCATTTATTTTTGCATATCCGACAAATTAAAAAATTTTAATTTTAAATTGAAGTTGTACATTGTATTGTAGCGCGATGCACTACTGGGTCGCGCCGCGCATAAAATAATCCTTCTCGCGCGCAACCACCATCTCACAATTTCGGTAGATCGGCGAAATTCACCACTGTGCCTCACCGAGCTGCGAAGGATTGACATCGTGAATCAATACATTAGGAAAACAACATTGTAGTGCGATGCGTTACTGTGCCGCGCCGCGCACTCAATGAGGCTTCTCACAGCTAGATCGGCAAAATGCGTTGTAGCGCAATGCACTAATGGGTCGCGCCGCGCATCAAATAATTCTTCTCGCAACCACTTCGGTAGATCGGCGAGATGCACCACTGTGCCTCACCGAGCTGCGAAGGATTGACATCGTGAATCAACAAAATGCGCTACTGTGCCGCGCCGAGCTGCGATGAATTGACATCGTCGGTTAAAATTAAAGCAGCTGGATAAATGATAAAATTAACAAATAAAATCGAAATATTTTGGAGGACTTCGCCGTTTTGACACGCCGCGCAAACTGATATTATTTTAGTTTGCATAAAAGTAAAAATGACGGGATCGTTGCTTTGTTAATTCGCAAAGCAACGGTCTAAAAAGGTTATTGGCATGGTCAATCAACGACACATTATGTATTACTAGGCGGGCTTGATTCACGATGTCAATCCTTCGCAGCTCGGTGAGGCACAGTGGTGCATTTCGCCGATCTACCGAAGTGGTTGCGAAAAGTGGTTGCGAGAAGCATTATTTGATGCGCGCGCGACCCAGTAGTGCATCGCGCTACAATAGGCGGGCCTCCACCTAACCATGCGCTTTCGCACCACTGCGTGCGCCCTTGTTTCACAAGTCAATAACCGCCGTGAGGCGGCCGGTGCGCGCTACTGCAAGCGCAAGGGCTCTGGATAGAGCAAGGCGGGCCGGCGGCCGTTTTGACTTTCATTGTTTCATTTTATATAGGCGATGCGTTACTGTGCCGGCCGCGTTGCTCTATCCAGAGCCCTTGCGCTTGCAGTAGCGCGCGCCGACCGCCTCACTTGTGAAACAAGCGCGCCCGCAGTGGCGCGAAAGCACAT